GTCAATGCCAGACGCCTACTTGCGGTATTGTCAACTACGTCTTGCAGTTGAAGCACAGACGTTGATTCACATCGTCATGAACTAACGAGCTGACAGTATGGCAGCATCAAGTAAAACGCACCCTACCACAGTTACTGCCACCACTTTCTGTACAGGTTGTCAGTTGATTAACAGTATGTGTTTAATAACTAGTACCAGAACTCACGAGATACAGCGTTGTACACCACGATGAAGTTGAATCGTTCTGTTCTCGTGATCTGCTGCGACATATATAACTCACTTACTTTTCACCACCATTCCACACTACAGCAACTTTACTGTAGAGTGAATATACCGATGAGCTACTGGTGGGTTACTGTTGAGTAACTGTAGGTTACTGTCAGTAGTAACATGGTACTGGCAAGATCCTCCGACGCGCTTCTTACTCAGCTCCACACAGCCAAGCCATGTCCCGGAGCTATCGTAAAACAGGTGACTGACGTCGGCCAAAACTCATTAATCACCTGATCAATTTTATTGCCACTTATAAGCAAATCGGAAGACGGAAGCAAGGGGATTTTATTTTTATTATTTAATAGCTGGCAGATATAGGGTGTGTATATAATTTGGCCTTGGAGGGAGACAGCAAAGGGAGTGAAAACTAAAAATACCCACGTTCACACCAAGCGCTGACATTAACATTACGTCACACAGAGTGACTGTGTTCATCCCGTTGAATGGCCAATTATGAATAGTCATCAGATAAACAAGAAGACGTATTAAAAATATACACTGAGACAATTCTGTCTTCTCTATCATCATCTATTTCACAGCTGTCATTCATCTCGCATTACGAGAAGCTAACTACGTGTATACGAACAAATATATATGTGATGCCATGGCGTTAAAAGTTTGAGTGAGTGTGTGTGTGTGTGAGAGAGAGAGAAGAGAGAGAGGGAGTAAGACAAGTATGCGCTACACGAATTAATTCATGTCTATTTACATGAGATGTTACTAATGAATTTCTCAACATACGTTACATTTCAACCACAAAATCTCGATTTTTTGCCTTTAGTGCCAAACGTTGTTTAAAACAACACTCACTATTAATAGCGCCACATATAATAACGCAACATAATATCAATTTATATGAAAACGTGGAAAACACGGTTTTCGATCATCACTATGTCTTAATACCAGAGATATTTACCTTAAAATATGCAGCACAGCGATACATTACCCTGTCCCCATCTCTGACTAAATGTATCACCTACCGTGATGCTGTAGGAGGCTGACCTCGACACATGACTCGTGATCGTCCCTAGCGTGGGATCATCGACATGTTCCGATCAATCAGTTGAGTTAACGTAACGTCATCAATCACCCACCTGCCATCACGTGATCAGCGGAGACGGTGTGGTGGGTGCAGTAGATGTCGCAATGACATAGCTGGGGGATGTAAACCTGTGTTCGTGGGAACGTGGAAATAATTAGACGTTTCCGTGGTGTTTGTGTGATGATGGTGATGTTAGACAGTTCTTTGAGTTGAGAAACCGATAAAGTGTTTAGGACTGAGACAGTTCTTAACATCAACTCGTCCAACATATCAGCAGTAGTTAACATACAGAATACAAGTAAGATTGGAATGGGGGAAAATACTAGTCTTTGAAACTGACTGACGTCTCTTTGCATTGTGTCGGATATTAACGTTAAAATGACGTTCATGGCGTCTGCAGTGGGTCATTCCTACGTAAACTTGTGAAACTTCCTCACATGCCGCTGTTTGAGTGTTGATGGGCGTCTGTATGATTGACGTTACGCTTATCCAGTGCTGTTCGTTATCCTCAAACCTTGCTTCAGTCGTCCATATGAATAGAAGCATATTGTCGGAAGTCTCACAAGCTCTCCTCCTTTCGGAACTGTTTTTGAAATGAGAAAAGATTGTTAATTGTTTCTGAATGGCTTTGCTTTGTTTGTTTGTTGTTTAAGGCCGCGCTAAGCAATATTCCAGCTGTACGGCGATGGTCTGTAAATATTCGAGACCGGATCAACCAATCCAGTGATCTGCCTCATGAGCATGGATCTGCGTTAGCCGTCTCTTACCACAAACGTGGGTTACTGAAGACCAATTCTAACCCGGATATTCACGGGTCGTACAGGGCCGTGAGCACATCATCTAGGTCAGGAGGAGAAACAAGTTGTGATTGATTTCTAAACCGTGATTATTAAGCTTGGTGGTGCTTCTGCATTACGTGGTAGAATGGTGCCGTGTCAAATTAACTTTCTAATATTTAAAATTATGATTGGCGTCCTCAAAGGCTTAGAAAACGTTATGGACAATGATGTAATAATGTTATGCCAGTGAGAAAAAACTAAAATGAAAGATTGAAGACCGGTACATATCCCTGTTCATCGCACTATCTTTCTTATAATCCACGTCATTGTGTTGTGCCATCGATTGATAGATGCTTGTTCAGGGCCGCAGGACACTGTAGAGAGTTTGACGCAAGTGTACCAGCAGGAGGGAACAGAACTTCACACACCACGCAGGCTCGCCTCCCGGTGCAAACTAAAAACACATCGGATTTATTATATGAGTGAGTGAGTGAGTTTAGTTTTACGCCACTTTTAGCAATATTCCAGCAATATCACGGCTGGGGACACCAGAAATGGGCTTCACACATTAAAGCGTTCGCCAGTCACGTAGAAGAGCCAGGTTCAATTCCCACATGGGTACAATGTGTGAAGCCAATTCTGGTGTACCCGCCGTGATATTGTTTGAATATTGCCACAATCTTATTCACTCACTCACTCACTCGTTCTGTGGAGAACTCCAGATGATTCAACTGGTGGAACAGAAACAGTGTTGACATATTATCGATATTATTCAACATTCGTTTGACATAATGGATGACGGAAGGGTCCATGCCTCAATATTTGCATTCTTTCAATATTTTTAAGTTTGGAAATGTGCGTGAAACATATGTTTGTTGAGGTACCTGTTGAGGTAGTCTGTCCTCTATTATTTTGTATGCGGTCTGTTTGTATCAGCGTTCTTCTGTAGGTTCAATAGTCTACACGGCTCACACTCCTACCGCATCTATACCATACTACCCGTGGCACCACCCCCAGGGCGAGCTCAGTTTGCCTAGGGCCAGCCACACCTATCTAGGTCACCCTGACGAAACCGATAATGTGTAAGGGCCAACCTGGCTAACATTATCGCCACACAACAAACAGCTCCCGTAGTAATGGAATCCTAGAAGGGACAGTGTCGCATTGTCGCACTTCGGATGCTTAGCAAAAAAATTATTTAAAGCGCGACAATACAACATAGCGACAATACGACAAATGGCCAAAATGGGACATTGTCGCATTGTCGCACTTGGATTAATTTTGCCTCGTTTTGCTTGTCTCAGTGAGCGCGACAACGCTACAATACGACAAGGTAACAATGCCCCTTCTAGGATTCCATACGTACTCCAGTAGAGTAAACCATCTCAAAGCCAGGATGAATTTTCCTTCAGGAATAAATTTTGGCAAAACTGAATTGCATTCCTTGATGCACACATTTCCGTGTACAGAGTGAATAGCCTACTACACCACCCGGTCAGTTCTACAACCAGAAAACAGTACTGGTGATCACTGAAAGCCACATTTAAATATGTGACAATTTTGGATATAAGTGCTGTTTAAGATGAGGGTACGAAACTTGAACTATTCATTTTGGTAGCAGTATATCTTATAATCAGTTGAACTGTACTGTATATTTGTCTCTGCTTGAATTACTTAATCCTTGTTCGAGATATTCACAACATTTGGATCATTTCGGCGTTAGGAATGCGTGCGGGGTAGTCTCAGGTTGAACTGATTGTTGTAGAGACAGAAGGGTCCACGTGGTATAGTCTCAGGTTGCACTGATTGTTGTAGAGACAGAAGGGTCCACGTGGTATAGTCTCAGGTTGAACTGATTGTTGTAGAGACAGAAGGGTCCACGTGGTATAGTCTCAGGTTGCACTAGAGACAGAAGTGTCCACCTGGTATAGTCTCAGGTTGAACTGACAGAGACAGAAGGATCCACGTGGTATAGTGTCAGGTTGCACTGGCTGTTGTAGAGACAGAAGGATCCACGTGGTATAGTCTCAGGTTGCACTGGCTGTTGTAGAGACAGAAGGATCCATGTGGTATAGTCTCAGGTTGCACTGGCTGTTGTAGAGACAGAAGGATCCATGTGGTATAGTCTCAGGTTGCACTGCCTGTTGTAGAGACAGAAGGATCCATGTGGTATAGTGTCAGGTTGCACTGACTGTTGTAGAGACAGAAGGATCCACGTGGTATAGTCTCAGGTTGCACTGCCTGTTGTAGAGATAGAAGGATCCATGTGGTATAGTCTCAGGTTGCACTGGCTGTTGTAGAGACAGAAGGATCCATGTGGTATAGTGTCAGGTTGCACTGACTGTTGTAGAAACAGAAGGATCCACGAGGTATAGCGTCAGGTTGCACTGGCTGTTGTAAAGACAGAAGGATCCATGTCTTATAGTCTCAGATTGCACTGGCTGTTGTAGAGATAGAAGGATCCATGTGGTATAGTCTCAGGTTGCACTGGCTGTTGTAGAGACAGAAGGATCCATGTCTTATAGTCTCAGGTTGCACTGCCTGTTGTAGAGACAGAAGGATCCATGTGGTATAGTCTCAGGTTGCACTGGCTGTTGTAGAGACAGAAGGATCCATGTGGTATAGTCTCAGGTTGCACTGGCTGTTGTAGAGACAGAAGGATCCATGTGGTATAGTGTCAGGTTGCACTGATAGTTGTAGAGACAGAAGGATCCACGTGGTATAGTCTCAGGTTGCACTGCCTGTTGTAGAGACAGAAGGATCCATGTGGTATAGTGTCAGGTTGCACTGACTGTTGTAGAGACAGAAGGATCCACGTGGTATAGTCTCAGGTTGCACTGCCTGTTGTAGAGACAGAAGGCTACGTGAGAGATAGTGTAGTGAAGGTCTTACGGTATGTCAGACACGTTATCTCGTTGATCAGGACTCCGTCCATGTTGCTTGTGGGAATCAGGAAGTTGAGATAGCTACAATGCAGGTCTACTAGGGTAGGTGGAGCACGCGTGAAACACACTATTTAAACCTGCCATCTCAGTGTATCCACGAGCAGCCCCTCCGTCATATTCCTCCTTTCACAACTTCCAGTCCCACAAACCTCAATGCCTCTACCATCTGTCTTTCCACACTCACCCACATGTGCCATTGTCACCACACCCAGGCTGCCCGTTCATTCATATACCCACACACTCATATTCCTCCTCGAAGTTTAATGATGACGAAAGTGAAATGCCAAGATGGAAATATATTTTTATCATCCAGCAGAATGCAGATGTGTACATGTGGTATGTATCCGGGTGTTTGTGCGGCCGATACTGCCGTATTCTTGTCTCCAGCTGATACTAACCCTTGAGTATATCAGTATTCTTGTTGTCTCCAGCTGATACTAACCCTTGAGTATATCAGTATTGTTCATACCATGCCTTGTTCTCACTGTATCTGCAGTTCATGACCTCGGATGATGGGGCTGCCTGGTGATTTCCCCGTCTGGAGTTACCTCTCTTTGACCGTCGTTGCCCTGTGTTGTGTCAGAAATGCTGGTGGCGTCCTTTCAACACGTAAGTAGGACATAATATGCTCCCTTATAAAACTGTGAGTGAGTGAAACCAGGTTGACACATTTCTGTCAAACCCGGAAAAAGTAAGCACACCTTGGTATATTTCTAATGAATAAAAATTAATGACATTACTGGTTGAATAATGGAGTGAATATGATCTGCAAGACAGACTCTGTAACAAGAAAGACATCATTTTTGTCAGCTGAAGTTAGGTTTTAATCGCGACATAGAACGCTAAGCACAGCCACTTGATATATTTTCACCCCAACACAAATCCCCTTTAGCTGAAGACTTTCTGAATACGATGTTACTTTGAGTCTCAAGATGAGATTCCCCGTTCAAAGGTTAAGTAAACGGCAAGTATTTCCTCCTCGTGCGCGGATGACGGCCTCAGCTCTGTGACCCTTCCTTCTGGTCAGACATCATTCTACCCCGCTGCAAAGATGCTTCCATTTTGTAGAGGAGGCCCTGGGACACTGCATTCCAAGTTCATTAGGTCAGAGTCGTCACACCGGGATATCTAAGGTTGTCCTGACCGTGGAATGTCCTTCAATGTCCATTAGGTCAGAGTCGTCACACCGGGATATCTGAGGTTGTCCTGACTGTGGAATGTCCTTCAATGTCCATTAGATCAGAGTCGTCACACCGGGATATCTGAGGTTGTCCTGACTGTAGAATGTCCTTCAATGTCCATTAGGTCAGAGTCGTCACACCGGGATATCTGAGGTTGTCCTGACCGTGGAATGTCCTTCAATGTCCATTAGGTCAGAGTCGTCACACCGGGATATCTGAGGTTGTCTTGACTGTGGAATGTCCTTCAATGTCCATTAGATCAGAGTCGTCACACCGGGATATCTGAGGTTGTCCTGACCGTGGAATGTCCTTCACAGTCTTGGGGTGGCCATGCTGTATCGCCATTCTGTTTGTTACTGTACATGTGTACTGGCATCTCAAGCCTTGGCATTTGAGGACAGATTATTTGAAATGTTTTTGTCTCTGATTTCCTCCTTCGGTTGTCGAGGTTATCGTGTGAAACAAATGCATGTATGTGATATGTTTATAATGTGAGACAGGCAACAGCAGCAGTAGCATCACATGGTGGCATGTTTGTAATGTGAGACAGACAACAGCAGCAGTAGCATCACATGGTGGCATGTTTGTAATGTGAGACAGACAACAGCAGCAGTAGCATCACATGGTGGCATGTTTGTAATGTGAGACAGACAACAGCAGCAGTAGCATCACATGGTGGCATGTTTGTAATGTGAGACAGACAACAGCAGCAGTAGAATCACATGGTGGCATGTTTGTAATGTGAGACAGACAACAGCAGCAGTAGCATGACATGGTGGCATGTTTGTAATGTGAGACAGGCAACAGCAGCAGTAGCATCACAGCATGTTTTAATGTAGACATCAGCATGCATCACATGGTGGCATGTTTATGTGATGTGAGACAGGCAACAGCAGCATGTAGCAGACAGGCAACAGCAGCAGTAGTACACATGGTGGCATGTTTATAATGTGAGACAGGCAACAGCAGCAGTAGCATGACATGGTGGCATGTTTGTAATGTGAGACAGACAACAGCAGCAGTAGCATGACATGGTGGCATGTTTGTAATGTGAGACAGACAACAGCAGCAGTAGCTTGACATGGTGGCATGTTTGTAATGTGTAGACAAACAGACATGGTGGCAGGTTTGTAATGAAGCAGTAGCTTGACATGGTGGCATGTTTGTAATGTGAGACAGACAACAGCAGCAGTAGCATCACATGGTGGCATGTTTGTAATGTGAGACAGACAACAACAGCAGCAGCAGTAGCATTGACATGGTGGCATGTTTGTAATGTGCAGACAACAGCAGCAGTAGCACATGGTGGCATGTTTGTAATGTGAGACAGACAACAGCAGCAGTAGCATCACATGGTGGCATGTAATGTGTAATGTGAGACAGACAACAGCAGCAGTAGCAGACATACACATGGTGGCATGTAATGTAATGTGAGTTTGCCTAATGTGACACGAGGCAACAGCAGCAGTAGCATCACATGGTGGCATGTTTGTAATGTGAACAGCAGGCAACAGCAGTAGTAGCATCACATGGTGGCATGTTTGTAATGTGAGACAGACAGCAGTAGCATCACATGGTGGCATGTTTGTAATGTGAGACAGTAGTAGCATCACATGGTGGCATGTTTGTAATGTGAGACAGGCAACAGCAGCAGTAGCATCACATGGTGGCATGTTTATAATGTGAGACAGACAACAGCAGCAGTAGCATTACATGGTGACATGTTTGTAATGTGAAATAGGCAACAGCAGCAGTAGCATCACATGGTGACATGTTTATAATGTGAGACAGGCAACAACAGCAGTAGCATCACATGGTGGCATGTTTGTAATGTGAGACAGGCAACAGCAGCAGTAGCATGACATGGTGGCATGTTTGTAATGTGAGATAGGCAACAGCAGCAGTAGCATGACATGGTGGCATGTTTGTAATGTGAGACAGACAACAGCAGCAGAAGCATCACATGGTGGCATGTTTGTAATGTGAGACAGACAACAGCAGCAGTAGCATCACATGGTGGCATGTTTGTAATGAGAGACAGACAACAGCAGCAGTAGAATCACATGTTGGCATGTTTGTAATGTGAGACAGACAACAGCAGCAGTAGCATGACATGGTGGCATGTTTGTAATGTGAGACAGGCAACAGCAGCAGTAGCATCACATGGTGGCATGTTTTTAATGTGAGACAGACAACAGCAGCAGTAGCATCACATGGTGGCATGTTTATAATGTGAGACAGGCAACAGCAGCAGTAGCATCACATGGTGGCATTGTTGTAATGTGAGACAGGCAACAACAGTAGTAGCATGACATGGTGGCATGTTTGTAATGTGAGACAGGCAACAGCAGCAGTAGCATGACATGGTGGCATGTTTATAATGTGAGACAGACAACAGCAGCAGTAGCTTGACATGGTGGCATGTTTGTAATGTGAGACAGACAACAGCAGCAGTAGCATGACATGGTGGCATGTTTGTAGACAGGCAACAGCAGCAGTAGCATCACATGGTGGCATGTTTGTAATGTGAGACAGGCAACAGCAGCAGTAGCATCACATGGTGGCATGTTTGTAATGTGAGACAGACAACAGCAGTAGTAGCATCACATGGTGGCATGTTTGTAATGTGAGACAGGCAACAGCAGCAGTAGCATCACATGGTGGCATGTTTATAATGTGAGACAGGCAACAGTAGCATTACATGTTGGCATGTTTGTAATGTGAAATAGGCAACAGCAGCAGTAGCATCACATGGTGACATGTTTATAATGTGAGACAGGCAACAACAGCAGTAGCATCACATGGTGGCATGTTTGTAATGTGAGACAGGCAACAGCAGCAGTAGCATGGCATGGTGGCATGTTTGTAATGTGAGATAGGCAACAGCAGCAGTAGCATGACATTGTGGCATGTTTGTAATGTGAGACAGACAACAGCAGCAGTAGCATCACATGGTGGCATGTTTGTAATATGAGACAGACAACAGCAGTAGTAGCATCACATGGTGGCATGTTTGTAATGTGAGACAGGCAACAGCAGCAGTAGCATCACATGGTGGCATGTTTAAAATGTGAGACAGGCAACAGCAGCAGTAGCATCACATGGTGACATGTTTGTAATGTGAAATAGGCAACAGCAGCAGTAGCATCACATGGTGACATGTTTATAATGTGAGACAGGCAACAGCAGCAGTAGCATCACATGGTGGCATGTTTGTAATGTGAGACAGGCAACAGCAGCAGTAGCATGACATGGTGGCATGTTTGTAATGTGAGATAGGCAACAGCAGCAGTAGCATCACATGGTGGACAGACATGTTTGTAATGTGAGACAGACAACAGCAGCAGTAGCATGACATGGTGGCATGTTTGTAATGTGAGACAGACAACAGCAGCAGTAGCATCACATGGTGGCATGTTTGTAATGTGAGATAGGCAACAGCAGCAGTAGCATCACATGGTGACATGTTTGTAATGTGAGATAGGCAACAGCAGCAGTAGCATGACATGGTGGCATGTTTGTAATGTGAGACAGGCAACAGCAGCAGTAGCATGACATGGTTGCATGTTTGTAATGTGAGATAGGCAACAGCAGCAGTAGCATGACATGGTGGCATGTTTGTAATGTGAGATAGGCAACAGCAGCAGTAGCATGACATGGTGGCATGTTTTTAATGTGAGACAGGCAACACCAGCATGCAGTAGCATGACATGGTGGAATGTTTGTAATGTGAGACAGACAACAGCAGCAGTAGCATCACATGGTGGCATGTTTTGTTTCAGAATGTCCGCCTCCGAAAGCTCTATTGGTTGTGACGAAAGGAAACGAGCGTAACCTGACGATCGACTCGACCTCCTACACGGCTACCGCTGTCTCTCTGCCGGTGAAGTGTGTCTCTGAGGCGTTCATCCCACAGGACGATGTAAAGGCCACATGTAAAAATGGCATATGGAAACTCCCCAAGACCAAGTGTGTCCGTAAGTGGCTGAACATAAGTGTGAGATTAAAGTACTGTCGGAAATGCTAGAAAAATGCTTTTTGACTTATATTTAAAATTCAGAGGTATTACAGTTACTTAAAAAACAAATATCACTTTAAGAAACATCTACCTAATGTAGACCGAGGGAATAATTTGTGAGACATGCCCTAAAATGCGTTTTTACTGATGAAAATACCAAAAGCTTAGTAAAAAAAGGGGTAGTGGGACGTTATTTGATACAAACATTAACTGCCTGTGTTACCTCAACAGCATACACGGTATCGACAGGTGAAATTGACACCTGAGCACACGCTCGGGCTAGGGGTCATCTCAATAGATGTCTTCTTCAATATGTTGAATATGTGTACGTATAGTATACGTATTGGTTATGTAAGGGATCATTTGTGTATGTGTGTTTGTTGTGAAATAAACATACGAATTACTGTAAATTGGAAAGAATCCTATCACTTGTGTTATCTTATCGATTGATTGTAGAAATGTGCAACGTTTTAATAAATGTTTTGCATGTCAACAGTATATTTCATTGCAAAAATATGGATGTAATTCGGTCAGTTGAATCTAGTTGTGAACACTGGCCAAAAATTTATCGAAGTCACTGGTGTAGCTTCTTTAGAACATATATATTCTTCTTCTCCTAAAGTTTGTAGACCGCCCGTCTAAGTACTCCCTTGTCAAAGTTGTCAAGGATGGTTTTACGTCCCGGTTTTGCTTTTGAGACGGTCCCTGTCTCGTCTGATTTGTTTACAATTGTAAACTTGTTGGTAAGACATACCAACAGCTCTATCCTAATGAAAGGTTTACCTCTGTCTTTTTCAAGCACAAACAACTTATAAACCTTTGCAACAATCGCCTGCAAATAGTTGGCCATAGTGGACGCTGTGATAAAGATGTGCATGCATGACGGGAAACATCTTTATCAAGACTTAACATTTATATTAATATTTCTTCAATAAAGAAACGATAATTAAGTAGAGTAACACAAACATTCAACATTTATTTGTTTAAGAAAAACGTTAATTTATATTTTTACACCACCTGTATTATTAGCATAAATGTAAAGACTATTTAAGATTTCTGTTGTTGAACTCAGAAAAAATCTTAAGTTCTTGTTTTGATACCAAATTCTCTCCTGTAAACTGCCCTTTAAATGCATGGGAATGTTAAATCAATTGAAATAAAAATTAGGTAGACTATAGGTGAGTTGATATTTTGACAACATAATACATTTATCACCTTCCTAAAGATATTAAGGCTAAAAAGCATTTTTCTAGCATTTCCGACAGTACTTTAGTATCCCATACCCCTGACATCGGAGAAATACCACGGAGTTGGTACCACGTCAATGTTAAGGGTTGACAATCGGGTTGACGAATGTGTTACTACAGGGGCACTTGATGAAGTCGTTGGAGGACTTAAGGTCATTCCTTATCACTCGTGTCATTCCGGGACCGACGATGAAGCAAATCGTCAGCCATGAGATATTTACTAAGTTCCAGCGATCTACTCAGTTCATAAAGTTGATACAGAACGTGTTTCTTCTTTATCAATGTAAGAACTTTGTTTTCTTAATCTTTACAAATTTGGATTCATTGGTATTCATTGTGCTTAGGCCATGTTTTTTTACGTTTAGCACTGATCTACCGTGAGCGGAAGGTCACCAACACCATCATGGCAATTACTGGGGCCGTCGGCGGCGTGCTTGCCGCTGCTTTCATCATCGTCAAGGTCATCTGCTACCGTCGGAGCAGCGGCAAGGGACAACGGGGGTAAGTCATGTAACAATAACCCGACTTTCTCTGAGCGTCCCTGTCTCCGAGTGCCCCTGTCTCCGAGCGTCCCTCCCTCCGAGCGTCCCTCTCTCAGAGTGTCCCTTTCTCAGAGCGTCCCTCTCTCAGAGCGTCCCTTTCTCAGAGCGTCCCTCTCTCAGAGCGTCCCTTTCTCAGAGCGTCCCTTTCTCAGAGCGTCCCTCTCTCAGAGCGTCCCTTTCTCAGAGCGTCCCTCTCTCAGAGCGTCCCTTTCTCAGAGCGTGCCTTTCTCAGAGCGTCCCTCTCTCAGAGCGTCCCTTTCTCAGAGCGTCCCTCTCTCCGAGTGCCCCTGCCTCAGAGCGTCCCTCCCTCAGAGCGTCCCTCTCTGAGAATGTGCCTTTCTCAGAGCGTCCCTCTCTCAGAGTGTGCCTTTCTCAAACCCCAGTCACCATATAGAGTGGTCTGGCATTAACATTCTTGCCAACAACCAAACGGACTTCCCTTAACGTAAGCTCACCAAAGCCATCCACATCAAAAGCCCACCATCAGCCGTGACCAAGGATACTTCGTTCCATCCGCTTATGATGCACTCCTTGTCTTCCACCAAGCCCAATCTATTGTATGATGCACTCCTTGTCTTCCACCAAGCCCAATCTATTGTATGATGCACTCCTTGTCTTCCACCAAGCCCAATCTATTGTATGATGCACTCCTTGTCTTCCACCAAGCCCAATCTATTGTATGATGCACCCCTTGTCTTCCACCAAGCCCAATCTATTGTATGATGCACTCCTTGTCTTCCACCAAGCCCAATCTATTGTATGATGCACTCCTTGTCTTCCACCAAGCCCAATCTATTGTATGATGCACTCCTTGTCTTCCACCAAGCCCAATCTATTGTATGATGCACTCCTTGTCTTCCACCAAGCCCAATCTATTGTATGATGCACTCCTTGTCTTCCACCAAGCCCAATCTATTGTATGATGCACTCCTTGTCTTCCACCAAGCCCAATCTATTGTATGATGCACTCCTTGTCTTCCACCAAGCCCAATCTATTGTATGATGCACTCCTTGTCTTCCACCAAGCCCAATCTATTGTATGATGCACTCCTTGTCTTCCACCAAGCCCAATCTATTGTATGATGCACTCCTTGTCTTCCACCAAGCCCAATCTATTGTATGATGCACTCCTTGTCTTCCACCAAGCCCAATCTATTGTATGATGCACCCCTTTGTCTTCCACCAAGCCCAATCTATTGTATGATGCACTCCTTGTCTTCCACCAAGCCCAATCTATGATGTATGATGCACTCCTTGTCTTCCACCAAGCCCAATCTATTGTATGATGCACTCCTTGTCTTCCACCAAGCCCAATCTATTGTATTGTATGATGCACCCCTTGTCTTCCACCAAGCCCAATCTATTGTATGATGCACTCCTTGTCTTCCACCAAGCCCAATCTATTGTATGATGCACTCCTTGTCTTCTTTGTCTGATTCCACCAAGCCCAATCTATTGTATGATGCACTCCTTGTGTCTTCCACCAAGCCCAATCTATTGTATGATGCACTCCTTGTCTTCCACCAAGCCCAATCTATTGTATGATTCACCCCTTGTCTTCCACCAAGCCCAATCTATTGTATGATGCACTCCTTGTCTCCACCCCAATTGTATGATGCCCAATCCAATCTATTGTATGATGCACTCCTTGTCTTCCACCAAGCCCAATCTATTGTATGATGCACTCCTTGTCTTCCACCAAGCCCAATCTATTGTATGATGCACCCTTGTCTTCCACCAAGCCCAATCTATTGTATGATGCACTCCTTGTCTTCCACCAAGCCCAATCTATTGTATGAATATCTCCTGTTTAAACTGCTCCTTTATTTGTATATCTCTGGCTTCCACGCCTTCCCTTTGTCCACTCACTGGCTTCATCAGCTCACTGCTCAGAGTATTATGTTATAGTACTGTCGCAAATAGAAAAGAAACTGTTTTTTCGCATTGATATCTACAATTTATGTACTTCTGACTGACTGACTGAGTTTGGTTTTACGCCGCTTTTAGCAATATTCCAGCAATATCACGGCGAGGGACACCAGAAATGGGCTTCACTCATTGTACTCGTGTGGGGATTCGAACCCGGGTCTTCGGCGTGACGAGCCAACGCTTTAACCACTAGACTACCCCACCGCCCCATTTATGTACTTAATATGTGTAAGTGTGAAATATCTGTTAAACTAAGTTCGGCCTACAGTCTCAGTGGTAGGGAGATAGGAAACGTAGAAAAAGGACTTTACTGAGGAGAGATTAGTGCAGAAATGAGCAATTCGGGTCCAAGTCCAAAGCGACTATTTGGAACAGACCATGGCTTTATGCATTTTTAGTGTGCGATGGTATTATATTACAAAGAACAATTTTTAAACGTCCCGTTTGAAATTAAACTTAGCTTCATTATAAACGATAGCTGACGTAAAAAATAATAACTTTATAACTGAAACTTTGAAGGATGTAGCTACTATGGAATCTCACTATCACTATAAAAAGAAACAGGTAGCAGGGGATCGTCTCAAAAGCAAATCCAGGACGGGTGTCGCAGACGGTGGTTGGGGTCGGACTGGGGGATAGAGATATACGCTGAGATAAGATATTCCTTTAGTGGAATTAAACCGGGAAGCAAACGGTATGTCATAACAATTTACAAATAATATCCAGTCCTGTCGATCTTCAGGTGGTCATGCCACCTTTATATTTTGAGATATTTAATATGATGACTGAGTTAAGAGTTCCCACGGCTATCATACCATTTTACATATCTCAACATAAACGTAATGAAAGAAAGACACGTTAGATATTAATCAATACATGAGACATATTCAACACACATGGAAAAGCATAAAATGTCTTTGAGATGACCCCTTGTGCTTGTGACGCCAGTTAGGCCGATGTGGGTTATTTCGATATATGCCTTTTGTAAATTTGTCAATTGTAGGGATACAGAGTAACAGCCTAAAAACAGTTGGTTTTTTTCTATTTCCGACAGTACTTTTTAAAAAAATTATGTTGGTGTCTTTGTTACATTCAGTATATATACATCTCCTCTTCTTCAATTACCATTCCTGCTTGACAACGGTACAAGAATCTACATCGAAACGTCGCAGTCACGAAATACAGAAGCTGTTATCAATAAAGTTTGTTCAGTATTGACTGACCTGAGCACGTGAATGTGCGGACAAGCATATAACCAACACTTAGGGCCTCTTTGGGATTCGAACGCGTGCTCCTTTGACACTGAGACGCCTTAGGAACCCACCTTAATTTGCACAGCGTGTTGTGGAGCCCGAGACACGTCGTGGCACCCATGTCCCCAATCAATGCGTGGTGTGGAGCACATGACACGTCGTGGCACCCATGTCCCCAATCAATGCGTGTTGTGGAGCCCGAGACACGTCGTGGCACCCATGTCCCCAATCAATGCGTGTTGTGGAGCCCGAGACACGTCGTGGCACCCATGTCCCCAATCAATGCGTGTTGTGGAGCCCGAGACACGTCGTGGCACCCATGTCCCCAATCAATGCGTGTTGTGGAGCCCGAGACACGTCGTGGCACCCATGTCCCCAATCAATGCGTATTGTGGAGCCCGAGACACGTCGTGGCATCATGTCCCCAATGTCCCCAATCAATGCGTGTTGTGGAGCCCGAGACACGTCGTGGCATCCATGGCCCCAATCAATGCGTGGTGTGGAGCCCGAGACACGTCGTGGCACCCATGTCTCCAATCAATGCGTGTTGTGGAGCCCGAGACACGTCGTGGCACCCATGTCCCCAATCAATGCGTGTTGTGGAGCCCGAGACACGTCGTGGCACCCATGTCCCCAATCAATGCGTGTTGTGGAGCCCGAGACACGTCGTGGCACCCATGTCTCCAATCAATGCGTTTTGTGGAGACCGAGACACGTCGTGGCACCCATGTCCCCAATCAATGCGTGTTGTGGAGCCCGAGACACGTCGTGGCACCCATGTCTCCAATCAATGCGTGTTGTGGAGCCCGAGACACGTCGTGGCACCCATGTCCCCAATCAATGCCTGTTGTGGAGCCCGAGAGACGTCGTGGCACCTATGTCCCCAATCAATGCGTGTTGTGGAGCCCGAGAGACACGTCGTGGCACCCATGTCCCCAATCAATGCGTGTTGTGGAGCCCGAGACACGTCGTGGCACCCATGTCCCCAATCAATGCGTGTTGTGGAGCCCGAGACACGTCGTGGCACCCATGTCCCCAATCAATGCGTGTTGTGGAGCCCGAGACACGTCGTGCCATCCATGTCCCCAATCAATGCGTGTTGTGGAGCCCGAGACACGTCGTGGCATCCATGGCCCCAAACAATGCGTGGTGTGGAGACCGAGACACGTCGTGGCACCCATGTCTCCAATCAATGCGTGTTGTGGAGCCCGAGACACGTCGTGGCACCCATGTCCCCAATCAATGCGTGTTGTGGAGCCCGAGACACGTCGTGGCACCCATGTCCCCAATCAATGCGTGTTGTGGAGCCCGAGACACGTCGTGGCGCCCATGTCCCTAATCAATGCGTTTTGTGGAGCCCGAGACACGTCGTGGCACCCATGTCCCCAATCAATGCGTGTTGTGGAGCCCGAGATATATGTTATCTTTGAATTACACTTTCTTAGTAAAGTATTAATTCTAGTACTTTTTTAGTTGAGTCCCATCTGGGATTCGAACCCACACCCTCAGAATCAGGCACCTAATCGCCAGAATTTGTACTTTACTAAGAAAGTTTGTAATCCCAAATATAACATATGTTACATTTGATCACTTTCTAAAAGGCATTGTGTAATCATAGCTTTTGGCTGTGGGAGCCGTGCCAATTAGCACTTACCAGAGGGGTACATAAAGTCCGCAGTCTAGACTACCAGTTGTCCGACTTCCATTTTTGTGGAAGTCGCGGTAGCTGAGCGGGATAGGCGGCTGACTTTGTGTGTTGGCAATTAGGTGCCTGACTCTGAGGGTTTGGGTTCGAATCCCGACTGAACTACACACGATTTCAATCATTGACTGTCTGACCAGGTAGATATCCAACTGCTGCAATAGTACGTAGATAAACTGCTGGAATAGTGCGTAGATAAGTGCTGTAATAGTGCATAGATATACAGCTGGAATAGTGCGTAGATATACTTCTGCAATAGTACGTAGATATACTTCTGCAATAGTGCGTAGATATACTGCTGTAATAGTGCGTAGATATACTGCTAGAATAGTGCGTAGATAAACTGATGTAATAGTGCATAGACATACCGCTGGAATAGTGCGTATATATACTGCTAGAATAGTGCGTAGATATAATGCTGGAATAGTGCATAGACATACCGCTGGAATAGTGCGTAGATATACTGCTGCAATAGTGCGTATATATACTGCTGGAATAGTGCGTAGATATACTGCTGGAATAGTGCGTAGATAAACTGATGTAATAGTGCATAGACATACCATTGGAATAGTGCGTAGATATACTGCGGCAATAGTGCGTAGATATACTGCTGGAATAGTGCGTAGATATACTGCTGGAATAGTACGTAGATAAACTGCTGGAATAGTGCACAGATATACATGTACTGCTGAAATAGTGCGTAGATATACTGCTGCAATAGTACGTAGATATACTGCTGCAATAGTACGTAGATATACTGCTGGAATAGTGCGTAGATATACTACTAGAATAGTGCGTAGATAAACTGATGTAATAGTGCATAGACATACCGCTGGAATAGTGCGTAGATATACTGCTGGAATAGTGCGTATATATACTGCTGGAATAGTACGTAAATATACTGCTGGAATAGTGCATAGATATACATGTACTGCTGGAATAGTGCGCAGATATACTGCTGGAATAGTGCGTAGATATGCTGCCGGAGAAATACTGTGTAGTCTCCAAACTACACACTGCCACGTGGTTCTATCTGCAGACTACACACTGCCACGTGGTTCTATCTGCAGACTACACACTGCCACGTGGTTCTATCTGCAAACTACACACTGCCACGTGGTTCTATCTGCAGACTACACACTGGACCACGTGGTTCTATCTGCAGACTACACACTGGACCACGTGGTTCTATCTGCAGACTACACACTGCCACGTGGTTCTATCTGCAGACTACACACTGCCACGTGGTTCTATCTGCAGACTACACACTGCCACGTGGTTCTATCTGCAGACACGACTCACTGATACGTGGCTCTGTCTACAGACACGACACACTGCCACGTGGTTCCGCTACACACTGGACCACGTGGTTCTATCTGCAGACTACACACTGGACCACGTGGTTCTATCTGCAGACTATCTGCAGACTACACACTGGACCACGTGGTTCTATCTGCAGACTACACACTGGACCACGTGGTTCTATCTGCAGACTACACACTGGACCACGTGGTTCTATCTGCAGACTACACACTGCCACGTGGTTCTATCTGCAGACTACACACTGCCACGTGGTTCTATCTGCAGACACGACACACTGCCACGTGGTTCTATCTGAAGACACGACTCACTGACACGTGGTTCTGTATGCAGGTCCGTGAGACATGATGACATCGAGATGACCAGTGATGGTCGTGTTTCGACAATGAGCAGGAACCTGCCCGTACAAACGGACCGACAATCTGCGCACCTCTACACGTAAGTAACTACACAATGTACAGTAGTGAAGATTTGTTGTGGTTATCATACAAAGCTCCATGTCAAAGGCCAGACATTTCACAGCAAAGGATGCAACCTGATGAAAGATTTGCAAACACATTTGAATATCTCCACCGTAAAATGGTGCGTTTCGATTTATGTTAGTGGTGTGGATGTTGTCTTATAAATATACACATGGAAAAAGTATCGCAACACGTATAATTGTTAACTCCATAAAGCCATTTATGTTATAATTATCCTCTCCCCATAAAGAAACGCAGAGGGGATATTGATCTATGAAATTTCAGATATTTTTCAAAATTAGTGTTTGATTTGTATATTTTTGCCATTATTATGCTGGTTTGTGTACATGGAACGATTGCACAGCGCAAAAACGCATCTTCGTAAATGATCCTGCACGTTTACGTTCCAAAGTGTACATTGATCGGACGAAAGATGATTTCTTCTGTTCGTGCATGACTGGTGGTATAGATGTCGTTTGGCGCCTCATAAACACGGCATATGTACAACGGAGTATATTGGAGAAAGTGCCGTTAGGTAGAGGTTTGTTTATGGTGACTCTAAACTTGACCTGGAGACAATCAGACGGAATGTGAATAGACAATGATACATCACCGACATCCTGGACAGGGTTGTTGTACCACATTTCTATGATCATCCTCTGCATACAAGGTCTTCATGGACGACAATGCTAGGCCGTAACATGCACGAGACGTTGGTAATTCACCACGTTAAGAGTTGGCAGCAACTCTTCTTTGGCCCGTCGGAGTCCAGATCTTCATCCAATAGAGCATGTTCCAGTACCCTTAAACAGGGAGAAGGTACACAGTGCCAGCCCGTCCTGGAGTCGCTCTGTCTCCCAGTACAATCGGATATTTCATGTGACTATGTAACTGGGTTGCGAACATTAATTGCTGTCTTTGTTTCTTCTGCAGACAATCTGTCGTGTCTGGACGTACCAGCCAACACACACAGCCCACCTACAACCACGACGGACGGGCGTTGAGATATTGAAACAAAGACTACTTTCTCACATTTGTCGGGGGTTAATGAGTCACGTGATGTCAGTTATCTGATTTCAACCAATGAACTGCTTACAAACTCATCATGCTTATGCTGAACGTGCCACAACCTGCAAATCCAGTCCTGCTCTAAATCTACTATGTGAACATATTAATAGAGGTATGATTGTTAAGTAATCGTAAAGCATTCATTATCAGCACACTACCCGTGTTCTCCAGACCCTATACGATAAATAAAAAGAGTCTTTCATTAGATTAGTCTAGATTGCCTCAACCCATAGGACAGTCAGTAACAACGTCCCAGTACAGTCCGTACTTAGTAACAGCGTCCAAGGACAGTCAGTACTTAGTAACAACGTCCCAGGACAGTCAGTACTTGGGAACAGCGTCCCAAGACAGTCAGTATTTGGTAACAGCGTCCCAGGACAGTCAGTACTTGGTAACAGCGTCCCAGGACAGTCAGTACTTGGTAACAGCATCCCAGGACAGTCAGTACTTGGTAACAGCGTCCCAGGACAGTCAGTACTTGGTAACAGCGTCCCAGTCAGTACTTTAGGGAACAGCGTCCCAGGACAGTCAGTACTTGGGAACAGCGTCCCAGGACAGTCAGTATTTGGTAACAGCGTCCCAGGACAGTCAGTAAACGTCCTAGTACAGTGGTAACAGCGTCCCAGGACAGTCAGTACTTGGAACAGCATAACAACAGCGTTCCAGGACAGTCAGTACTTGGTAACAGCATCCCAGGACAGTCAGTATTTGGTAACAGCGTCCCAAGACAGTCAGTATTTGGTAACAGCGTCCCAGGACAGTCAGTACTTGGTAACAGCGTCCCAGGACAGTCAGTATTTGGTGACAGCGTCCCAGGACAATCAGTACTTGGGAACAACGTCCCAGGACAGTCAGTACTTGGGAACAATGTCCCAGGACAGTCAGTACTTGGTGACAACGTCCCAGGACAGTCAGTACTTGGGAACAATGTCCTAGGACAGTCAGTACTTGGTGACAACGTCCCAGGACAGTAAGTACTTGGTAATAGCGTCCCAGGACAGTCGGTGCTTGGTGACAGCATCCCAGGACAGTCAGTACTTGGTAACAGCGTCCCAGGACAGTCAGTACTTGGGAACAATGTCCCAGGACAGTCAGTACTTGGTGACAACGTCCCAGGACAGTCAGTACTTGGGAACAATGTCCCAGGACAGTCAGTACTTGGTGACAACGTCCCAGGACAGTAAGTACTTGGTAACAGCGTCCCAGGACAGTCGGTGCTTGGTGCAACGTCCCAGGACAGTCAGTACTTGGTAACAACGTCCCAGGACAGTCAGTACTTGGTAACAACGTCCCAGGACAGTCAGTCAGTACTTGGGGACAACGTCCCAGGACAGTCCCAGGAGTACTTGGGAACAATGTCCCAGGACAGTCAGTACTTGGGAACAACGTCCCAGGACAGTCAGTACTTGGGAACAACGTCCCAGGACAGTCAGTACTTGGTGACAACGTCCCAGGACAGTCAGTACTTGGTAACAGCGTCCCAGGACAGTCGGTGCTTGGTGACAACGTCCCAGGACAGTCAGTATTTGGTAACAGCGTCCCAGGACAGTCAGTACTTGGGAACAACGTCCCAGGACAGTCAGTACTTGGGAACAATGTCCCAGGACAGTCAGTACTTGGTGACAACGTCCCAGGACAGTCAGTACTTGGGAACAATGTCCCAGGACAGTCAGTACTTGGTGACAACGTCCCAGGACAGTCAGTACTTGGTAACAGCGTCCCAGGACAGTCAGTACTTGGTGACAACGTCCCAGGACAGTCAGTACTTGGGAACAATGTCCCAGGACAGTCAGTACTTGGGAACAATGTCCCAGGACAGTCAGTACTTGGTAACAGCGTCCCAGGACAGTCAGTACTTGGTGACAGCGTCCCAAGACAGTCAGTATTTGGTAACAACATGTCAAATTAGGATATCAATTATATTCTCTAAATAAGTGAATATGTCTTTGTGTTCAAATCAAATTCTCATTTTAAATTCAACTTCGAAACTGATTTAAAGAACCACGTTCAATAAACTGTCGAAATGGGGGACCTGCTGTATCAAGTCATCGTCTAGTGTGAAGAGATCGTATTTTGCATTGAATAATATTTTCATGAATCTAGGCATTCGAAGTTATCTACAAACCTGTAGAACTGATCAATAGAACTACAATCAAGACTCGTGGACCTGGTCAAAGTATATCTACCCTCACAGTCCTGGTCGAAATATACCAACACTCACAGTCCTGATCAAAATATATCAACACTCACTGTCCTGATCAAAGTATATCAACACTTACAGTCCTGGTCAAAATATACCAACACTCACAGTCCTGATCAAAGTATATCAACCAACACTTACAGTCCTGGTCGAAATATACCAACACTCACAGACCTGATCAAAGTATATCAACACTTACAGTCCTGGTCGAATTATACCAACACTCACAGTCCTGATCAAAGTACATCTACCCTCACAGTCCTGGTCAAAATATATCAACACTCACTGTCCTGATCAAAGTATATCTACCCTCACAGTCCTGGTCGAAATATACAAACACTCACAGACAAAGTACAGTCCTGATCAAAGTATATCTACCCTCACAGTCCTGGTCGACATATACCAACACTCACAGACCTGATCAAAATATATCAACACTTACAGTCCTGGTCGAAATATACCAACACTCACAGACCTGATCAAAGTACATCTACCCTCACAGTCCTGGTCAAAATATATCAAAACTCACATTCCTGATCAAAGTATATCTGCACTTACAGTCATGGTCAAAGTACCTTGTCGCACCCAAACGTCCGAGTGCTTTAACGTTATAATAGTTCAGTGCGAAAGTCTGCTTTATTACACTATACATGGTGGTAGAGCGAACTGTATTTCTTAAGTCTTATGGGTTTTTGGACACTTAACAACATCCATTGTTGCTCGATTATCACATGTACAACTGTAAAACTTGTCACTTAATTATTATAGGTAACTGTCTCTTGATAGCTAGCCATTATCAGAGAATGTGCAATATATGTGTGGCAGAACTCGCCGTGTTATAGCGCGAGTAAACACTGCCGTCAGAAAGCGTGTGACGTCTGAGAATCAAAACAGATGGATTTTGTGATGCGGTCTTAAAGTGTTCGGTGTGGTCCACTTTCCATTGTGCAGACGTGATATCAGTAGAAACGATATACGCACATTTCCCCATCAGGACAATTCCCCACTAGGTCAATGCCCCATCTTGACATTTGCCCACACCTGTTTTGTAACCAGTAGGACAATTCCCCACTAGGACAATTCCCCACATGACATTTCCCCATTTTGACATTTCCCCACACCTGTTTTGTGACCAGTAGGAGAATTCCCCACTAGGACAATTCCCCACATGACATTTCCCCATCTTGACATTTCTCCACACCTGTTTTGTAACCAGTAGGACAATTCCCCACTCATAAAATTGTAGTACAGTAGATGCGATGGGATTAACTAATCTGTGCATTATGTGTATTCACTTGTTAGGGGCGATGTGATTAACTAATCTGTATGTTAGGGGTATGTTGGTCAGTAGGGTCACTAAAATGTTTTCATAATGATTTCCTGTGGTTTTCAAGATGGGACTCAAGATGAAGTGAAAGTTTTCTAAGTAATAAACGATTTCCTGTGTCCATCAGCCCATCTAGCAAAAGCCACGTTACAGTATAAACCTCACCAAGATTAACTTTCTCCAAGATAAATTGAGATTTACAATAATGTATTAATATTCTGGTAAAATGCTGTCAGATTCCAAATTTTCTGAAATTCATTCCGAATAACCGTTTATGCGAGCTCCACTGGGTAACACTGCTATTATAGTATGACCAGAAATTATTGAGAATTTTAGGAATATGTTTAATTGGATTTCTAGTATAAACAACCTTGACCAGCTATCAAGTGCTTGGTTTCATTCTAGAGAGACAACTCCGTTAATTCTTTGTCACTAGTTTGTAAAGAGTTATCCCCCTTTGTTTACTTGCTAGCAGACGACATTTTCAGTGATCCTCAGTGTGGATGATTTAGAGAAGAGGAAGTTAATTTTAGAGTATTATAACAAGGGCATCAGATCAGCTAAAGTGATTTCAAGTAGAACAGGCATCCCTTTGTCCACTGTTTATCGTGTTTTGAAAAATATTGCAAATGGATATGGCATTGAGCACCAGGGAGGCGCAGGTAGGCCCAGAAAATTGACTTTCGGTGACAGGGGGCTGCTTGGTATTCTTGTTTCTAAAAACAAACGAAGGAGTTTAGAAAACCTAAGGCTGGATATGATTGATAGAGGAACTGTGGCTGTCTGTAAGGAGACAATTAGAACTGAGCTGCATGCAATGGGTTGGCAGAAAAGTCGAGGATTTCCATCACCGATCATGAAACCTGAACAAAAGGAGCGATGGTTGAACTGGTGCCTACAGCATAGAAATTTTAACTGGGACAATGTGATTTTCTCAGATGAAAGTTCTGTGTGGCTGTTTCCTAATACACTGAAATTCTGGACCAAACAAACTGAAAAACCTTTGTATCAGCGCCCAAAGTACAGTCCGAAATGTAATGTGTGGGGTGGCATATCTGTGTTAGGGGCAATGCCCCTCTGTGTATTTGAAGGGAATATGAACAGTGAGCGGTACACAGATATTCTCGATGGACATTTACTTCCATCTGCTCGCGTGTTCTATGGACATTTTTGGATTTTCCATTATTAGATTGGCCAAGCTATAGCCCTGACCTAAATCCAATAGAAAATGTTTGGGGACTTATGAAGGAAAGTGTCAAAAAGAAAAATCTGACAAATATTGCTGAAATGAAAGAACAGGTGGTCCGATATTGGGACAGCATGAACCACGACTTTCTAACTTCTTTGATCAGTAGTATGCCCCGCCGCATTGAAGCCTGCATTGCTGCCCATGGTGACTTGACAAAATAATACTAACTGTTCACCTGTCTTTGAATCCGGAGTTATGTTCTGCTAATATTCACATTTAATACGTGAGTAATGAGTGAAAATTTTTTTAAAAAATTACAATCTTAAATTCTCAATAAGTTCTGGTTGTACTGTACATGTGTCTATGTAACTGAAGCAATCAACAAACATTTTGTGAAGACGAACTTTGTATGTACTATCAAAACCAACATGAACTGCCGCAGCGAAAATGTTATATATGTTTTAACATGTGCGGGATGTGGTGAGTATTATATTGGAGAAACTGGAATGCAACTAAAGGACCGAGTCACTGTACACAGACAACAAATTCGAGATCCTAATGTGTGATGTATAAATGTAAGCAAACACATTGATGAATGCGGGAATGACCAGTTTACTATCTTTCCGTTTTATCAATTGTTTAACAATGATTAACAATTACGGATTGAAATAGAACAAATTTCAGTAGGCTTTACAAAACCTACGCTTAATTCAAAAGTATAGTTTTGTTACCTTCCCAATGTAGCTCAGTATATATATACAATGATTTTGGATTACAATGGTTTGAAATACAATCATTTGAAATGTTAAATGCTTGCTCTATCAAATTTTGGAAAGAGTGTAGAATTTCATTTCAGACAATATTAATTGGTTAAAATACAGAGTGGTGCTTATTTTATGCACAGATGTATATTATCTACTTCACGGTTCGGCATGCTACAATAATAGAACCAGAACATTCAAAGATCCGTCTTCCCGAGTAACAATTTCTATGTTACCCGCTGGAAATGCCGAACTGCGGGAATTCTTTTGGTACTTCGTCTTAGTAGTGTTTGGGCTGTTACCCGTGCTTCTGACAGTTCAAAATTAACATTGGGGTGTTCGGTTCGGGCTCAGGGAACATAAACAAACATAGAGGGTACATCAACCCATGCCCCCCTCGTGACCAGTGAACAACTCCTAATGTTAGTGTGGTACCTATCATGAAGGTATGAGGTGTGGCGAGTGGTACCCCATGTCGTATATTACACACACCATACAGACACTTGACCCGGACACAATGTCCACACTTCAAAACGCTCACACTTGAATCCAGCAAACTTGAGGTGCTTCTTATCTTTGTTCGTATCTCGACAAAGGTCAGAGGTCACATATCAAATATTTGACACAGTTGTCAGTAACGACAAACGGTTGCCAATCTGTCGTGTGTTGTAGTGATCAGGGTGACTGACAGGCTCATTGTGGCAGTGGTTGTGCGTCTCTATGTCCGAGAGAGCAAATACTTGATGAAACACTGGACTGGACGTGAAATTACCTACACATATACATGACTACTGTGAAGGTACAATGTGACAGTGTATAGCCTAGTCGTCAATTTGTCGTAACGCTGGACACGGACGATAGATTTCCTTTGTTCATCCGATTTATTAGAAACATTTAAACTCAATCCTAAATCTTCTCGGCCTCGTAAATAATTGAATGGGTGGTACACAGTTGGTTTACGTTTGTCTCCCCTCATACTCTACTTCGGGTGTCGCCCTGGTCTCCTTCGTTTTATTGTACATTTATTGGCACATACACCTACACGTTTGAGGGCGGTGGGGTAGCCTAATGGTTAAAGCGTTCGCTCGTCACGCCGAAGACCCGGATTCGATTCCCCACATGGGTACAATGTGTGAAGCCCATTTCTGGTGCCCCCCGCCGTGATGTTGCTGGAATATTGCTAAAAGCTGCGTAAACCCAACTCACTCACTCACTCACTCACTTACACTTACGAAATGTGTGTGTATGTGTGTGTGTGTGAGTGTGTGAGTGTGTGTGAGTGAGTGTGAGTGTGTGTGTGAGTGAGTGTGTGTGTGTGTGTGTATGTGTGAGAGAGATACACTTTCCGTACTAGACATTCTGCGTATGCTGGTATAAAATACGGACTAAAGGGCACCAAGGATATCAAAACACCAACCTCACAATCTTTAATTTGACGCGTCGTTTACATAGTAATTTCATCTGAATCAAATTTCGCCCTCGTGTCAGCATTCCAGTGAACCTGTGCTTGAACACTCTCAGCCATTCAGGGGAACATTATTGGTGTAATATCTTCGTAACTGACGTATGTCGTTCCCCGCACCACCCCCAGCCACCCAGGCTGACAGGAGGCAGCAGAGAAGACATATCAAGGCACCAGAAGTTCACCAGCCATCACTGTTCAACAGTCTATGGAACCCAAGGTGGGACATTGTCGACTTGTCGCCCTTACAAAAACAAGAAAAAAGTGTCAAAATTAACTATGTAAAGTGCGACAACGTGCCAATGTCCCTTCTACCCACCTGACAGTCTCTCCTATGACGCAGTGACGTTATATCGCATGCGTCTTCAATAAGATACAGATCAATAGCTGCATTTTTTCACACCCTAGGAGGTTATTGAGGTATTGTGAGGTCATGCAATATTCAACGAGTTGACTGCTTTGTCCAGACTTCGTCAACAGTAAAGCCTAACTTAACATAGTGAATATATGTGAATATTGCGGGAACCCGCCAGCGTCAGGTTCAACAATAACGCAATGTCGACATGCGTCGCCTTCAGTGTTTTATTAATTCTACGAAGTCGCATTCACCAACTTGAGATCCCAGTATCAAATTACCGAGATCTCTGTATACACTTTCGCCGTCACTTACAAACCAGTATATGGCCGCAGCATAAAATAACATACACTTGGAATAATTTCAGTAATTCTACATCCCCTTGCCCATTGGAGTAATTAAAAATGACAATCGGTTCCAAGGAACGAACACAGATTCGTGTCTATAGGTAATCGAGCCGGGTAAATCTAAATTGACAACTGGCCTGCAAGAACGAACACGTTTGTCTGCAAAGGCCTCTCGCCGGTGTTATCGCTCAGTAATTTCTAGCGGTCCGAGTGTAAACAAGCGTTGAATTTACTTACTTAGTAGGTATAACGGCTGAAGGCACACCTGTCTTCCGGGATATCGGCGCAGAAATAAGTCGAGCCTACAGCACTGTACATTGGTCTCTAGACTCAGATCAAGATTAGCAGGTGAGAATTTTCATTATAGTTAATGATTAAAAGGTGAAATAGTTTTCAGTTTTCAGTCATCTGTGATGTTTAAAAGGCTACTCTACACCGTGATAGAAAACGATAGTGAAAGAGGTGTACACACATGTGATGAAGCCGTTTTCTTGCATACCCAGAATAGTACGTGACTGAACATAGATCATGGCACTTGTAGGGATGTGTCTAAAGTTATACAACCGAGACTAACTGGTGTGTTCAGGCGATCAATATCTACCACAGAGACAGTAGGGGTATGTTGTACAACTACTTGAATTAACAATGACTTGTGAGTTTTTGTGAGCCCCCTAATGTACGTTTAAGACATTGATTGCCCCGACCGTCATGCGTCTCCTCGGCATGGCTTCACGCCACCCTCATAAACAATGTCAATTACAAGAAACGCAGGTGTAGGATTTCACAGTACTTGCCCAATAACCATGTCATAGGGTTTAATAGCTTCATAGAACCATAGCCACATACTTCCAGCCCGCTTGCTGATAGTTTATCATACGATTGGGTTCAGGCGAGCACGCGATGGAGTGCCTTGAAAGCACGTCAGTAGCTGAGACGAGAATGGATGGCGACTTATGTACTTGTTTTTAACCTGTAAATGGAGTGTTGATTTCCCTGGGAGGGTGTCTGATACGTGCCATGATGCAGTGGGTAGTTGACCTGCGAGGACACCCCGATCATCACAGGTGTGTCAGCTCGAACAGTATCTGATATCGCGAAGCGCTGATAATGATAGACGAAAGGTAGCCATTGTGTGTTTTGTAGCCTTAATAGCACGCACTTAAATATATCATATGTCAAGATCTATGTGCATTTCAAGCAACAGTTCATGAATATATGTCCACCTTCAAGTGTTTAACATATATTTTATCGCTGTACTAGACTATTTATCTGCATGTAGTATTCGGCACGAAGTTTTTATAACTTCGTATTTGTTTATTTTGTCAATGTAGAATCGTGTGCGTAAATATATCATATATACACATTTGACAACCTTAGTGAATGTCATACACCCGGAACACCTCCCACTAGACGCTCTACACACGCAGGCGGAGTACAAAGACGGGACCGGGAGGTGTTTGCAGTGGACGTGTGTTGGGTGTGGATGGTGGTCAGGCAACCATGGGCTTGGGTGTGGATGGTGGTCAGGCAACCATGGGGTTGGGTGTGGATGGTAGTCAGGCAGCAACCATAGGGTTGGGTGTGGATGGTGATCAGGCAGCAATCAGTGGGGTAGGGTGTGTGTGGTGATCAGGAAGCAATCAGTGGGGTTGGGTGTGGATGGTGGTCAGGAAGCAATCAGTGGGGTTGGGTGGGGATGGTGGTCAGGCAGCAATCAGTGGGGTTGTATGTGGATGGTGGTCAGGCAGCAATCATTAGGGTAGGGTGTGGATGGTGGTCAGGAAGCAATCAGTGGGGTTGGGTGTGGATGGTAGTCAGGCAGCAATCAGTGGGGTTGTATGTGGATGGTGGCCAGGCAGCAATCATTAGGGTTGGGTGTGGATGGTGGTCAGGAAGCAATCAGTGGGGTTGTATGTGGATGGTGGCCAGGAAGCAATCAGTGGGGTGTGGATGGTTGGGTGTGGGGTTGTATGTGGATGGTGGTCAGGAAGCAATCAGTGTGGTTGGGTGTGGATAGTGGCCAGGAAGCAGCAATCAGTTTGGTTGGGTGTGGATGGTGGTCAGGAAGCAATCAGTGGGGTTGTATGTGGATGGTGCTCAGGCAGCAATCAGTGGGGTAGGGTGTGGATGGTGGTCAGGCAGCAATCATTAAGGTAGGGTGTGGATGGTGCTCAGGCAGCAATCATTAGGGTAGGGTGTGGATGGTGGTCAGGCAGCAATCATTAGGGTAGGGTGTGGATGGTGGTCAGGAAGCAATCAGTTTGGTTGGGTGTGGATGGTAGTCAGTAATCAGTGGGGTTGGTTGTGGATGGTAGTCAGGCAACATGGGATTGGGTGTGGATGGTAGTCAGGCAACATGGGATTGGGTGTGGATGGTAGTCAGGCAACATGGGGTTGGGTGTGAAACGTGGTCAGGCAACCAGTGGAGTTGTACTGAGGGAGGGTCTGTATAAGTTATCACTGGTAAGGTAATTACTTTATTAGTGTTCACTGTCCCAGCAATCACTCTGATAGCAGCCAGCAGGGGTGTGAGGCGTTTTACTCTGTCTGCAGGATTTCTACTCCACAACAAATCGACTTCATTTTCTTCACCTTGTTTCGGGAAAGTGTTTCAATGCAAAAATTAACGACTGATTTCCGTCAATCCGTTTTCACATGCACGTTTTGTATTGGGGCAGACGCCGCCGATGAGTTGCTCGTTTTAACAGAATTGACTCCTCTTAATTTGTCGGTGTGTATTCATTTTCCGTGTGTGCCCCGCCTGGCACGTATATCCAGTAAACCAACAGTGATCACTTCCACCTGTGTCTAGTTACATTCTGCCACTCATGACGTGTGCTTAAATATTTAGGCTGTACCGTTCATGTTAATAACGCAGTAATTAGCGCCTTATGGAAGGTCCGTGTATTTCTGACCTGGTCGGGTGTTCCTTACTTGGCCGTGTATTCCTAACCAGGCCGTGTGTTCGCGCGTCCTGGCCGTGTGTTCGCGCGTCCTGACCGTGTGTACGCGCGTCCTGACCGTGTGTTCGCGCGTCCTGGTCAGCAGCCAGGACACAACAGTTTTCAGCACTGACCAACGCGTACAACTGAGCGTTGATATTTCCCCAATATACTCACCAACTGCATCTTCTCCAAGTAAATCACTAGACTTCTTTTTTTCAAACTGTTCACAACATTTGTCATTCTCAACGCGTGATGCTACAAATGAGAATGCTGACAGATTGGGTTGGAGAAAATCCTTAAGAAATGTACACATTCATATGCTTCCTGGTCAAAGTTACAGTACACAAGTGTGATCTTTGTTACAGTACACACAGGTGCGATGTTTTTGTTTACATCCAAATATGAGGAGTAACATCGCAATATATTTTCGCAAACCTGTTCTTAATGTGGTCTGAAAACAGGAAAGTTCCGGTATCTTGCCTACGAGAACAGGTAACCGGCGTTTAGCATTAGATCTAAGATCCAGGCGAGATTTCGATAGTGTGAAGAGCACCGATATACGGTGATACCATGTGTGCAGCTGGGAGCCGACCTTCACCTTTGATTGCCGGTGCAGGTTGTACTTCCCGTTACCAGCAGTTATGACGACAGCGTCATATCTAACACATGGGATTTACGGGGCGGTTTGACATTGTAAGCCTTCCACCGATAACCAGTAGGATAATGTCGTCCAAAGATCAACGTGCGGGAATAAAGAATTATCTCAGCATTACTGTTGACCACGATCTGCCTGTACCTCTCTACACGTGTCAACACTATGCGACATGAAGGATTCAGTGTCTATATGTCTCTCTGAGCTTTCCCCTCAGTGAACAAATCGACTGCAGTGTACAGGAACACCGTTCAAAGCTATACAACGACGCAGCGTCTTAAGTCGGTCAATGACGATGTCGGCCATCTGGCAGCTTTCAGTGTAACATCACACCCCGGGTATCGAATACCGCCCTAGTTCGAGGAAACCCAATTACAGCGCTTTGTGAAGCATCACTTTTCCAGTTCATTCTCATGTTTAGTCCAGAAATGAACTGATTAACCGATACCCGCCCATGATATATGACGTCCTCGGTGTAACCTCGTAACGTGTCTGTAAGTCAATAGAGCAGGCAATAAGTATTTGGGTAATACATAGGCTGGATTCCTGTGTGAGTAACGGTATCATGTTACTTTGTGTTATCAAACACTCTCAGCACGAGGGATTTCTTATTGGGACACACTGCGGTGAAAGTGTTTATCTGAAATATATCGCCCGCCATTGAGATATATTTACCATGGTCAGGTTTAATAGATGCACAATGCGATCGTGATGGCCACGAGGCGAGTGAAGGGCTTGTAGAGTTGATCTAGGGATCTGACGGGGACAATGCATGTGTTTACTGGTGTGTCGTTAAACAACGGGTGGGAGCTGTCTTCTCTTCACCTGCAACTGGTACCACCCCTATATACTGTCGCGACCTGCGTCATACATACTTGATTCATCTCGGGCGTCATATGTTTTATTACAAGTGTACAGGGGAAATACACGAAAACATATCTGGTCACACTTGAATATATGTTTGTATTGAACCAAACCACCCTGTGGTGTAATCTCTACCGTTTATATATGGACGTAATGTCGGGGCATGAAGATTAGAGGTTGTCGATGTGAGGTGACCGCAGTTGTGATGTACTTATTAGAAGGCTCACCGCTAGACAACTTCCTTCATATAGTGAGGCGGGGGGTCCTGTGCATAGAGCTCAGGTCACAAATCAGTTGAAGTTAAGCAACGTTGGGCGCGGAGAGTCCTCGATTGGGTGACCGTGTTTGGCAACTTGACTCCTGAGAGTTTCTAGGACTCCATTCCTGACCCACAACGAAGCAAGTGTGACACATGTGGTCTCACCTTTGGCAAGTGAGTTTGTTCAAACTTGCCTCTGTTCACCCAACAGAAATGGGTACCCGGTGGGATAAGTGACTATTAACCTTCTACCGCCTCACAGACAGCTGGGGTTATCCGGGGTAAAGATAAACAGATGATAGCGCTATGAACATTCACCTAGTGAATGGAGATTATCACAACCATCAGTCCATGTTACAGATCTCAACACAACCATCAGTCCGTGTTACAGATCTCAACACAACCATCAGTCCATGTTACAGATCTCAACACAACCATCAGTCAGTGTTACAGATCCCAACACAGCAATCAGTCAGTGTTACAGATTTCAACACAGCAATCAGTCAGTGTTACAGATTTCAACACAGCAATCAGTCAGTGTTACAGATCCCAACACAGCAATCAATCAGTGTTACAGATTTCAACACAGCAATCAGTCAGTGTTACAGATCCCAACACAGCAATCAATCAGTGTTACAGATTTCAACACAGCAATCAGTCAGTGTAACAGATCCCAACACAGCAATCAATCAGTGTTACAGATTTCAACACAACAATCAATCAGTGTTACAGATTTCAACAAAGCAATCAGTCAGTGTTACAGATCCCAACACAGCAATCAATCAGTGTTACAGATTTCAACACAACCATCAGTCAGTGTTACAGATCCCAGCACAGCAATCAGTCAGTGTTACAGATTTCAACACAGCAATCAGTCAGTGTTACAGATTTCAACACAGCAATCAGTCAGTGTTACAGATTTCAACACAACAATCAGTAAGTGTTACAGATCCAAACACAACAATCAGTAAGTGTTACAGATATTAACACAGCAATCAGTCAGTGTTACAGATTTCAATACAGCAATCCGTCAGTGTTGTAACCAAGCACGTTGAACACCTGGACCATTACGTTATATGACCTGTCACAAACACCACATAGTGTGAAATACACGAAAACCTCGGCCAGTGATTGTACATACACGAAAACATACCAGCTTGTGTAAATATACATGTTCATACACTTGTCATGTACCGGTATATCTACCGTGGGTGTGGATCGGCAGCATGGCAGTATTTGTGTGTGTCGACTGGGTGAAAAGCCCAGGTGAGGTGTATTCTGTATGTGTGTACTAGGTGACAACCCCATGTGAGATGTATTGTGTGTGTGTGTGACTATGTGACAACCCCATGTGAGATGTATTCTGTATGTGTGTACAATGTGACAACCCCATTTGAGATGTATTGTGTATGTGTGTACTAGGTGACAACCCCATGTGAGATGTATTGTGTATGTGTGTACTAGGTGACAACCCTATGTGAGATGTATTCTGTATGTGTGTACTAGGTTACAACCCCATGTGAGATGTATTGTGTATGTGTGTACTAGGTGACAACCCTATGTGGGATGTATTCTGTATGTGTGTACTATGTGACAACCCCATGTGAGATGTATTGTGTATGTGTGTACTAGGTGACAACCCCATGTGAGATGTATTGTGTATGTGTGTACTAAGTGACAACCCCATGTGAGATGTATTGTGTATGTGTGTACTAGATGACAACCCTATGTGAGATGTATTCTGTATGTGTTTACTAGGTGACAACCCCATGTGAGATGTATTCTGTATGTGTGTACTAGGTTACAACCCCATGTGAGATGTATTGTGTATGTGTGTACTAAGTGACAACCCCATGTGAGATGTATTGTGTATGTGTGTACTAAGTGACAACCCCATGTGAGATGTATTGTGTATGTGTGTACTAAGTGACAACCCCATGTGAGATGTATTGTGTATGTGTGTACTAGATGACAACCCTATGTGAGATGTATTCTGTATGTGTTTACTAGGTGACAACCCCATGTGAGATGTATTCTGTATGTGTGTACTAGGTGACAACCCTATGTGAGATGTATTGTGTATGTGTGTACTATGTGACAACCCTATGTGAGATGTATTCTGTATGTGTGTACTAGGTTACAACCCCATGTGAGATGTATTGTGTATGTGTGTACTAGGTGACAACCCCTATGTGGGATGTATTCTGTATGTGTGTACTAGGTGACAACCCCACGTGAGATGTATTCTGTATGTGTGTACTAGGTGACAACCCCACGTGAGATGTATTCTGTATGTGCGTAGTAGGTGACTTCAACACTGTCAAACAGAGAGATGAACGTGTTATAGTTTCCTCACAATACGCCATGTCTTTCCGGTAACTCTACAGGAACTGGCCAGTGCTTTTACCAAAGAGTTGAACAATATGCCCTTAGCAGCCACCCAGACATTAACTGGGTCAAGCTCCTTAGAATTGCCTTCTACTTTCAATTTGTTTTCATGACTTAAAAAAAAATACATTTTTGCCCAGATATTTTCATTTCGACGGAGAATCTGGCTGATGCCACGTGGTGTGGCACCGTGTGGCACGTGAAAACTGACTTAACTACACCCAAAATATCTTGAAGTTATGATGCCATTACATATTTCAACAGATGCACACAATGGCATATTCCCCTTTCAAGTGAGCACACATTAAGTGATTGATGGCTTTCAGCAATATTCCAGCAATATCACGATCGGGGGACACTAGAAATGAGCTTCACACATTGTACCATTGTGAGGAATCGAACCCGGGTCTACGGCGTGACGAGCGAACACTTTAACCACTAGGCTACCCCAATGCCCCCCTGTCAATCAAACAGCACCGTATGTCAGTGCATACCTTAGTGTTGAGTTCTGAATGGGAGCTGACATACATGTAGTTGAATATTTCCTGGTAATTGGAGTACTGCTTGTCAACACTTTGAATAGAATGGTCACAGTATTCAATTGACTGTCTGAATAATCTAATATGTAATTCACTGACGCAGTAGAGCTCAAAGGTTCATTAAGCTGTGTGGGATGCCTGCGCAGTCAGTCAGTCTGTCTGTCTGGGTGACATTATGGAGTACTGTATCAAGATGCTAATTGCGAGTCAGGTCACGGAGCAAAGCCACGCTATCGGGTGATCCGGCGAGGTATATTATCACGATTGTGTTGTGCCAGCTCAGTGTGATAGGTGTGAAATACATGGCGTGACGCTCGGCTCTCGATTACCTGAACAAAGACAAGCGTGTGTATTGATACTTATCGCAAACACAAGAATATATTTGCTGTCGCCATTCGTTAATTAGTGCAGGATATCCAGGTTTTCATCAGCGGTAAGGAGTTGACTGCACTGATATCTTCATTTCAAATGCATGATGTATTTTATCAACATGGCTAAGTAATATATATGAGGTAATCAGAGAGTGGGTATGGTTTTACGCCGCTTTTAGCAATATACTAGCAATATCACAGCGGGAGACACCAGAAATGGGCTTCACACACCGTACCCATGTGAGGAATCGAACCGTGTCTTCGTCGTGACGAGCGAACGCTTTAACCACTAGGCTACCCCACCACCCCATCAGGTAAATGAACAGCAATGAACAACAACAATGTTTCAACAGAAATGCTGATATCAAATCACGAAGTAAAACTCACACACTACTTCCATAAGAAGGAAAGCA